AAAGTTTGGTGATTGGTTGTGAATTGGATTGAGATGGGCAAATCACACAACTGTCGTGAGAGGGAACTACCACACAAACTCTTTGTTTGATTGCGATTGGTCTTTTTCTATCCTGATTCTTTAATAGTCAAAGTAGGCGTACGCTCGGATAACCCTCACAAGGATATGCGACTGCACGTTTATGGCTCTCTTTTACTCACTGATTTTATATGGTCGAACGTAAGTCCCAAGTCCTAGGTCCGGGGCTGAAGGGATTACCCTTCACACAGTTCTGACCTACTTACATCCTTAGGGAAACAAAAGCGCCGCGAGAAGGAGGGACTGACCCCCAGCAACTCGGTCCAGCAGGACATTCATGTCTTCTCCGGCTAGCGACAAACGCCCCTATTCTCTTTCCTTGTTTAGTTTGCTTTTGGTGGAACGATAAAGTTCCGGGCGGAAGGATTAGTGTGTCGCTGGTGATGCGCCAGACAACTCACCACCGCTCCGAATCCCTTCCTGCCCTAGGGACCATCTTACCTCGCACCCCTTGGGACACCTCAGGGTGYTGAAGACGGTAAGGCCCCCAGGCCGGTTTTTGCGCTCACTAAAGGTTTACCCCCTTTAGCGTGCGCTTCAGCCGACGCCTGAGCATTGAAAGCGACCCCATGGCTTAAACGAGGCCACTCGGGTATGGGCACTACATGGTGCGCCGACATCACGATCGCTTACGCAAATCCGCATTGTTGGTTGATGGGTCAAGCGAAAAAGGCAAAGGCGCGTTATGGCTAGTAGACCCGAGTTTTAATAGCGCGAAACGGCGCGTGGGCGAGATATCAATCCCAGTCGACGTATGGGGGCTCGCGTACGAGCCTCCAACGCCTCGAACAACGGGTTGCCTATGAGTCCAGCTTTGGGCACCATCCGCACGCATCTCACGGGTTGGCCTACACCTTCCGCTGGAGACTGTTATCAGACTATGAGCTAGACAGAGAGATGAAATAGGGTGATCCCCCCTTTTTTCTATCTGTAGTTGTTTCCTCTTTTAAGTTTTCTTGGTTGGACGTTGTAGTCCGTGGTAGCCGTCAAAGTCAAACCCCTTGATTTTGGCTACCACGACAGCTCTCGAGCTGTCTACTCAACCCCTCTGCACAGGGTGCAGAAGAGGGTGTGGTCTTCAACCGCACATGGCGGTTGTCTGGCGTCAAGAGTTAACCCCTCAAAGCGCCTGTCAGCCGACACTTGAGCGTCGAACGCGACCCTCGAGATTATCAAGGGCCACAAGGCTACGAGTACCACATAGTACCCCATCAGCGCAAATGCTTGCGAATGTCCACATGGCTGGTCGATATGAGGGGGTCATGAGCACGCACGACTCTTATACAAAAGTTCAGCGCGCGATGCCTACCTGATTCTCGCAGCATGAAGTTATGGGTCCGATACTGAAGGGACTAGGAGTGTTGTGATGTTGTGTTTGTTTTGTGTTTTTCCATGTGTTATGTGTGGATAGATGTGAGTGTTGTGGTGTAACGCGTGGTGTGTGTGATGCATCCTAGTCGACCGGCGCCGAGTCGCGTTTGGGACCTCAGCCCCCAGTACGTTGATTCGCGTGCGGGTTCGATTTTCAGGCGTTCAACCGCGCGTAACCCCCTATGCTACAGCGAGCGAGAAACGCCCTTGGCTGGGTCACCACTGCAGTTGCATACGAAAAAGTTTCGCATGTGGTTCAGTAGCTCGGCGGGGATACGCCCACCTAAGGGATGGCGACAGCTCCCGCAGGTGGAGGTAAGCGGTGCCTCGCATGACCCTGTCCTATCGTAGGGGCTCGCGAGAGGTACAGCTGGCGCACTCGGCCGGAGCGGCTAAAACACTCTGCGACAAAGTCCTGCAAAATCTTGCGTGACACGGCCGGGAGGGTCCCCGTGCGGGACCGATGCGCTCGACAGGTGGCGCCGTTGCCGGGGATCTCGGCTGCCTACCGGGGTCCACAGTGAATGAGCCCAGGTTAAGAGCGGGCAGATGATCCAGGCAAAACGACAACCTTTGATGAAGAAGTTTGACGATGATATGAGTATTGTGCTATCTTCGATGGCCTATTAAAGTTTATTTTTGATTGCGAGTAAGGTTGAGAGTGTGCCTTGTGTGTATTCATTTCAAATAATAGAGTTGGAATTACGATATAAAGACCGGATAGACTACCTTAGTTATTAAGAGTATGTCCGATTGAATAATGAAACTAGAGAGTTTAGAGGTTTGACGGAAGGTTGTTTGTCGAAATCGTTTTTTTTCGCAACAGGTTGAGAAAGGACAAAGATGCCGGACTCCGATGGAATCGAGCGGGGCCCGGGTGCTACACCTTAGGACTTCGTCAAGGCATTGGAAAAAAGAGAGATGGCACGGCTTCAGGTGCCCAAGGTTAACATTTTGCACTTCAACGGGGATAGAGTGTCCGAGTGGCTTGAGTTGTTGGAGCAGGTCACTAGCGAGGCGTCAGAAGCAGACAAATTCAAGCTGATGCCTAGGTACGTATGGTGGGAGCTTAGACTTGAGGTAGTTTCAAGTAGCGGCCGACGCAAATGGTGAGTGGGCAAGGTTTAAAGAGGAGATGCAGTGGCGTTTCAAGTTAGGGGACGGCCTGCTCACAAAAGAAGACCTGGAAATGTTGAGACGGGATGAGTTCTCCACGGTAGGGGCCTTTGCCACAGCATTTGAGAAGATGGCAAAGAAAGTCCCAGGGCTGGTAGAAGAAGAACAGTGTGCCACTTTCCTGGGGCACTTTAAGAATTGGGAAGCCTCGTCGCTAACCAAGAAAGCTGCGTCAGGAAAGAAACTGACTTGGGGTGCCATAAAAGAAGGCGTGCTAGAGGAAAGGTTGGACCAGGTAGACATCTTCCAGATGAAACAGGCTAGGAAGAAAAGGAAGACTTTGGATACTATCGCTAGTGATCGGCGCAACTTCAAGCTAATGATAGAAGAGGCTGTGGCCCAGCACCATGCAGAGAAGGAGGCAAGAAAGAAGGCTATGGCGGCGCCATAAGCCCAAGGGAAAGGAAAGAAGGTGGTAGTGTTAGAGGAGGAGGAGAAAGAAGAAGAAGAGCCTGAACCACAAAAGTCGACAAAGGCTCAAAGGAAGGCAAGGAACACGACTCAAGGGGGGCAAGGCTCAGGAAAAGGTCAAGCCCCGCAGGCTGTAGCGGCGCCACCCCCTGAATCGTCTAATCAAGCCGCACCAGCACCCTATGGGTCATGGCCAGGTTGTGGACCTCCCAGTCATTGGCATGGGCACTGTTCATGTGCACCATGGCCAACGGGTGGGCCACATGGATCATGTGCCGGAGCGCCGGTGAGTACGGCTTCCTGTGGATGGCCGGGACCCCAGTCTCAACAGGTGAGTCACTCGAACCCACYGCCAAACCAACCTCAGCAGTTGGCCCCACAAGGATCACAAGGGAATCAAGGCGGTGGACGAGGACAGAATCAAGGATGGGGCCGAGGGCGAGGAAATGGTGGCCGCGGGGGATATGGGAGAGGAAACGCGAACAGTAACTCCCAGAGAGGAGGAAATGACGGGTGGAACGGTGCAGGAAATCAGAGTGACCAGCAAGGTGGTGAAGGATATGGAAGAGGAAGGGTAGATTGGAGAAATGCCATCTGCTGGCATTGTGGCCAGAAGGGCCACACAATTAAGTTTTGTCAGGTCCGAAAGAGTGATGAAAAGGATGGCCTGATGAGCTCAAGCTATGATGGTGATTTTTTCGACATGTACGGTGAGTGCATAGACCCGAGAATCCCAGGGGGGATACGGGAAGAAGCTCTGCGCCGTGCTAGTGCCCCAGCTCCACCAGCTCCTCCGGCCGCTTTCCGTATTTGGCAGGAAGTAGAAGACCGTCAGGGTGTGAGGATAGAGGAGATAAGCGAGAATGAAGAGGTTGAGCAGAGATTGAGGGCCGACACAAAAAAGGAGGAGCCTATAGTGGTTGAATCCGACGACGACGAGCAAGATGGTGGCCACGGCAGGGCAAGAGACACGATGGAGAGAATGGAGGACCTACTGGCAAAAATCGGGAGGTACCAGGATAAGTTGACCACTCTTTGTGAGGAGGTCAACAGGTGGAAAGGAGAGTTACCATTGGTGTACCTCATCGATTCAGGCCCAGGGGCACAAGGCGGATGTGGAAATCTGCCCGGAGTGACTGTCACGGCGCCAACTCCCAGGTCTGGGATGACCTTCAGGCCGCCGTCAAGAGCCGGAAGGGCGGCTTTGGCAGCACGTACTAGATCGAAGGGAGCGCCCGACTCAAGCCATCCCACTCAGGACAGCCCGGGTCCCAGTGGAGAGAAAGAGATGGTAGAGATTCCAGAGGATGACGAGGACGAGGATGAAAAGTTGAGGAAGGAAGAGGACAAGAAGGCTGAAGAGAGAGCCAAAAAGAGGGGCGCCAAAACGAGCGCTGATAAAGAGCAGGAGGGAAAGAAGAGAAAGTATAAGGTCAGAATGGAGGAGGGGTTTGATGTGGAAGGAATGGTCGATCGACTCCTTGAGGGTCATAACGACCTAATGAACTTAAAGGATATCCTCGCTTCCGCTCCAAAATTGAGGGACGAGTTGAAGGCTCGATTGTCCAGAAGGTTAGTAGCAAGTGTGCGCTTGGGAACCATTATCCCCAAGGAAGCGGAATGGGCAGAGACAGGCACGAAGATGGATTGGAAGTCCGTCGCTTGTGGATGCTTGGACGTAGTAGTAAAAGGAAAAACGTGCACGACAATGGTGGATACTGGAGAGGAAATTAACCTCATAAAAGAGGAGCATGCTTTACGCCTGGGGATGGAGATTGATCGCTCCGATAATGGAGTTTTAATGGGAGCGAATAGTCGGTCTGTGTTCATAGGGACCGCATCGAGAATGGTTTTGGAGTTTGGCAAGGTTAAAGTGAGAAGTTGTTTCTTTGTGATGCCCGATCTCGACCATCCCATCCTATTGGGCCGATCCTTTTTTAGCCGAACGGAGACCGTCATACTGAATAAGCATGATGGGACAATGTTCCTCGTCTTATGTGACCCGGTATGTGGCAACTATGAGGTTATCACATGCAAAAATACGGGGCCACAAAGTATAAGGAATAGGCCCAATCCTGGCTCTTTCACGATTGAGGAATCGGGAGAAGAAAGGAAGAGGCTAGGAGGGGATGAGTTTGAAGAAGAAAGGAATCCGGAAGCACTGACTCTTAGCCTGACCAATATAGGCGATGCTATGAAGATAGTGTCAACCTATGGGATGGCGGACATGGAGGCCGTAGAGGCCTTGAGAGAAAAGGTGATGGAACAGATGGGTGAAGGAGAGGTGGAGCTGGTATATTGGACGTCCGGAAAGAGAGGAGGATCGGCTGGAGTCCAACCCCTGTGTGCAATTCGGCCTTTTTTAGGGGTGGGATCAAGCAAGGGTCACAAAGGCGGTACAAAAGAGTAGATAAAAAATGTCGCCCTGTTCCTGTGCTCGTGACTGAGGAACAAGAAGTTTATTACGAGCGGGAATGAGAGTTGATACGGCAGATGCGAGAGGACGCACAGAATGRGCCATGTCGTATCACTCCTGAGACAGAAAAAACGYTGATTATAGGGGAGTCCGGCTTCCTTACGGCGCAAGAGGAGAAGCTTATGGTGGAAACCATAAGAGGAAGGCATACTGCATATGCCTTCAATGATGACGAACGGGGCCGTCTGGATGTGGATAGGATCCCGATGATTAGGATACATATCGTTCCCCATGAGTCATGGAACTTGCGGGGTGCGCGCTATCCTAATCATGCTGATGAAGAAAAGGTAGTTACCTACCTTGATGGAAACATTCGTACGCACGTATCAGACTACTCGAGTGGGCCATATGCATCCCCTTGGTTTTGTTTCGTCAAACCAAACGGGACCTTGAGGTGGGTACAGGATTTGCAGCGCCTGAATGCTGTAACTGTGAGAGATGCAGGTGGTCTCCCTAACGCAGATGCGCTTTCAGAGGCATGCGCTGGGAGAGTCATCATATCTCTCATAGACTTATATTCTGGTTACGACTGGTTTCCTGTTTACCCCTCTGACAGGCCGATGATGGCAATGCATACCCCTCGAGGGTTAATTCATATGAACGTCGCACCGCAGGGGTGGATAAATGCAGTCGCCATGGTCCAGAGGCACATGGTGAGGGCAATGTAGCCAGTAAGCCCTCACATTACTCAACCTTACATTGATGATTTGGCCGTAAAAGGGTCTAAAGAGAAGAACGAGCAGGAGGTATTGCCAGGGATTAGACGCTTTGTCTGGAACCATGTGCAAAACTTGTGCAGGGTCCTAGACTTGTTAAAGAAGCATAACCTTACTGCAAGTGGGTCTAAATCGAGGCACTGCATGAGCGGGGCCACCATCTTGGGGTTTGTGTGCGACGAGAGGGGTCGTCGACCAGACACTAAGAAAACCAATAAGATTCTCGAATGACCAACCCCATTCGAGACTATTACGGAGGTGAGAAGTTTCCTCGGGACATGTGGGTTCTGGAGGATCTTCATAAAAGGGTTTGCGGCAAAGACGGAGCAACTTCGAAAACTCGTGCGCCAAGGACAAGACTGGGAATGGGGAGATAAGCAGGAGTTGGTAATAAAGGGCCTAAAGAAGGAATCCGAAGAAGGGGGTCTAGTACTGGGAGTACCGGACCACTCGGCGGTAATGACCAGACCTTTTATTGTAGAGACTGATGCAGGGCCAACTGCGCTAGGAGGTGTGTTGATTCAGCAAGATCTTAACGGAGAGGAGCGGCCACTAAGGTTTGAAAGTCGCACGCTTAACACAACTGAGAGAAATTACTGTCAGTTTAAGTGCGAAACCTTGACGGTTCTCCGTTGCTTAAGAATCTTTAGGAACTGCCTCTTAGGCAGTAGGTTCGTGTTGAGGGTGGACCCAACTGCTCTAGCCGGTTCTCTCAAGAATTTCGCTCCATCAGACCCGACTATCGCCAGGTGGTTAACATACATCTGGTTGTTCGATTTTGAATTAGAGCGAATTCCAGGAAATAAGAATAGAGCAGACGGATTGAGTCGAGTTGACTGGGATAAAAATAATCAAGGAGTGATCGAGGATACTCGCCAGTCGATGGGTTTCTGGACACTGAGGAGGATGTGAGACTTCACATCAACTCCTGGTCGATGGTCGTGGGTAACTACGTTACTCCTGGGCAACCTGTGTGGCTCTCGCCTCCAAGACATGTACGACGGCCAGACCTAGTCTTTAAGCCTTTCATCGAAGAGGACTCGTGAGGGATGTCAAACGTGCAATGGATGATGGATCTGGCCTTAGCAGACAAATACCAGTTGCACGAAGACCTACTCACAATGGAAAATGGGGCGCAACAGGTAGAAAGACACGAGAGGTCGATAGGTGGGATATACCTCTTGGCAAATGCTCTGCTTCAAGACGAGGTGGCAAGGATTGGGGATCAGCGGCAAGGTGAGAATGAGAATGTAGTTCACGAAGGAGAGGACGACGATTTTGAAGAAGGAGAGATAAAAGAGGTTTTTCGCATGGAGGAGTATGACGGCATATATCTGGAATTATGAATGCTCCTTTCGTGCGAAATGAGAGAAACAGATGCGTGCGAGAAAGTCCTCAAGATGCGACCAAACTTCTTGGTAAGGGATGACCATTTATTTATGAGGAGTAAAGGGAAGACTCCAAGAAGGGTAGTCTGTGGCATCGCTCGTCAGATCGACGTCATAGCTGCTCTACATGATGGTAAGGCAGGTGGCCATAGGAGTAAGGATACAACTTTCCTCGAAATACACGAGCTATACTATTGCGATGGCATGGGACGAATGATCAACGATTATTGCAAGTCATGTGTTCCATGCTAGGAGCAGTCTTCCATTAGACCTAGGGAGCCACTTCACCCAAGGTACGTACGCGAGGTTGGGGCGGTCGTGCATTTGGACTTATTGGCAATGCCGCTGGGAGTAGGTGGGTATAACTTTATCTTCGATGCACGAGACAACCTCTCCGGTTTTGTAGATGGCAGAGCCATACGCACAAAAACTGGTGAGACCTTGACTCGATGCATTGAGGAGTATTACCTCCGCTATCCTTTTGTCTCCAGATTCGTWATGGACAGAGGGTCCGAATTCACTTGTGCTGAGGTGAAAGAACTGCTGAGAGGGTATGGAGTGATCGCAGAGTATACTACTGCGGGGCACCCTCAAGCTAATGCACATGTGGAGAGAGGTCATAGTACGATTACGAATCTCCTCGCTAAGTGGACGAATGGTAGGCCAAATCAGTGGCCTAACTTCCTACGGGTTGCCTTCTTCGTGGATAACATCACTGTCAGAAGAAGCACCAACTACGCGCCAGCAACGTTGTGGTATGGCAGACATGCGACCTTCCCTATCGAAAGCTTCCTAAAGACTTGGAGGCGGCAGGACCTCGAGACAAACTTGTCCTTTRAGGAACTGCTAGAACTAAGGGYTCGTCAGATTAATGCCATAGAGGACAGAATTGAAAGTGCGGCGAGTWAGGTGGCTGACARCCGAYAGAGGGATAAGTTCAGATGGGATAAGATGGCAAGGGTAAGGAAGGAGCCTCTCAAGGTGGGCGACGTTGTGTTGCTATATGATTCATCCTTAGAGAAGCAGTGGTCGCGAAAGTTAGACAAGAGGTGGTTAGGACCATACAGGGTCGCAAGGAGTGGAGAGCATGGGACATACCAGATTGAAGAGCTGAATGGGACTGCCTGGAAAGATTGGGTGTCAGGCTCGAGGTTAAAGAAGTTTGTCGCTCGAGACGAGGTGAGCGTGGGTCCCACAATTTAGAGTCCTTTTCTGTTAAGTATTACTAGATAAAGATATATATATAAATATGAGAAAATTGTGTATGTTTTTCAGTAGAATGGTGTGATAGAGTATAGTATTAAGATATATTTATATACGTGTATTTACACATGTATGTATGTGTAGTTAAGATAGATATGAGAGGGGAATGTTTGTCTCCTGTTTTGTTTGCCGAACCTGCTTACCCTCTGTATGCTTTTGTCTGTCTCTTCCTTGTTGTGCAGGTTTGACACCAATTTTTGGGCAGCCATGCCAAGAGGGAGGGGAGGGGCAGGGTCAGTGGAAACCCCTCTGGGGGTTACCAGACAGGGGACGCAGATGAGGGCCAGAAGAGAGGACAGGCCACCCATTTATACAGGAGACAACGTTGAGTTGTTCATGGTTGGGTTCAGAAGGTACGGTCATGAGTTTGGATGGGATAGTAGCAGGCTGCTGCAGGAGGTGTGAGGAGCAGGCGAGTGGGCACATCCCCTTGCCAACTTCGTCAGGGAGTCATTGACCTGGCAGGATTTTGAGAGGAAGATGGAGGGCTTGCACCCATCGCCATTAGGAAGGGATGGACAACCCATCCGTTTCGATGCCACTAACTTGTGGGAATTCCTGAAGGGCTACGACGAGTTTGCAGACAGCATCAACAAGCCACCAAGCCAGAGGGTGAGGGATTTTATTCTGTTTGTAAGGGAACACCTCAGGTCCTTCATCAGATCTATTGTGGAGCCTGCCACAAACTGGAGCCATTGCAAGAAATTGCTTTGGAACTACTATACTCCAGCTCGTCAGGCAGAGGAGAGGAGGAGTGTGCATAGAAAGAGGAAGGAGCCAGAAACTGCAGAGAAGAGAACCTCTGAGCAGGGCATGACCTCAGGAGCTCAGAGGGATGGCCAGAGGAGAGAGCACAGGTTCCGGAGGCAGGAGAGAGAGGAGGACCAGCATATTGGCAAGACTCAACAGAAAGAGGAGCAGACTGCAGAGAGGACCCAGAGGGGAGGGCCCTCAGGTGGATCAGATATACCTCCTCACCTTGCTCACGTACCTGAGACCACTCCTAGGCCAGGCATGCAGCCAGAGACGTCTCATAGGGCACAGGGTCAGGGAAAGGATGAGGATCAGGCTGCAAGAGAGAAGGAACAGGACAAGGAAGAAAGAGCGGCAATAGAGAGAGAAATCAGAGTCCAAATCAAACTCAAGAACATTGCGGAGCTGCACGAGAAGTTTAAGCAGGGAGAGCAGCCTGTGATACTAGAAGGCAGAAAGGGGAATGGCTCACCTACTCAAGACGATGAGACTCCTCTTTTCATAGAGGCTTGAGACAACTTTGATAAGTTGTTGGAGGCAACAGGGAGGCCCAGGGAGGCCCAGGGAGCAGCATCAGGAGATGGGGGTTAAGCTGGTCTCTACAGACTTGCTTAGCCTGAAGGGCCTTACGAAAGAGGGTTTTGCGGCGGCCAAGACTTCTAATGAAAAGATGGAGAAGAGGTTGACGAGGGTGGCACGGGCGTCTCATGAGCAGAGAATGGACTGGCAAAAAGAAATTGGTGATCTCAAGAAGGAGTTGGAGAGGCAGGACAAGGAGATGGAAGCCATAAAGACTGAGGTGGAGAAGGCTTGGGCAGGCAACGAGGCCATCAGACAGGTCAACCAGACCCTTAACAAGGTCAATGACAATCTGAGGGCCTACTTGCAGATACAGCAGAACACCTTTCAAGTAAAGAAGACGAAGTGGGAAAAGAGAATCATGGACCTTAAGGCCAAGTGTGCACAGCAGGCACCTACTGCAGTGGTAGACTGAACAGAGGTCCAGAGGTTTGAGATCAGGAAGCAGCCTGCAGAAGAGGCCTTCAAGTGTCAGAAGGTGGAAGAGAGGGCAAACGACCAGAAGGATGAGGAAATCCCCCTGCTAGATAAAAAGATGTTGCAGTCTGAGGACGCCCTAGCAAAGATGAAGTCAGGAACCGGGGGGTTTGAGTGGAGGATGCCCACAGTCTTGGCACATGAGGCAAGGCCACCAGCAGAGGATGCGATGGATGAAGCTGCACTTCCCGTGACTCAGGAGGAGACTGTGGGGAGACAGGAGGTTCAGGAGAGTGTGGGACAGGCCATGGCTGAGGCTGAGGAAAGGGAGGAGCAGGAGGTATCTCAGAAGACCCCACCATCTCAGGATATGCCTCTAGTTGCAGGTCTGGAGGATGCATTGGGATCTTGGGCCACTGGATCCGGGGCAGAGGAGCGAGTGAGTGAGCAGATGGCCCAAACAGATGACAGAGCAGCATGCCCCATTTCCCCAGAGCACCCACAGCAGGAGGTCACCAGCGAGGCCACAGCAACCCCCTCATCTGTACCCTCCCATGCAGCTGACAAGATGGAGCAGAAAAGGTTTGGAAGATGCTTCTACTGCAAGAGAGGCAAGCACCCACAGGAGACCTGTCCCAAAAGCCTCAAGGATGAGGCTGATGGTTTGTTTTCATGGGACCCATCTGGCGTACGCAGGGACAGAGATGGGAACCTGATCCTGAAGACTCGTGATGGGATACGAGCGCAGTTGTATAGGCAACTGCAGGAGGACATGAGTGATCAGGAGTAGGATTTACGAATAGGGTCCGGAAAAGTCTAGATTCTGACATGTGTAGAACATCTCTGACTCACTACTGATGGATGACTGTATATAGGAGAACACATCGAGGATTGGATCACGCCCATGTACATCAGTTAATTGAGTCATTACAGATATGTTTACATTCGCATATAGACTTTCAGACCTAGCATACATAGGAAAGTATTGAGTGTGACACTGACTACTTCGGTTTTCCTTTCTCTTATGGTGTGGAGTGTTTCTAGGTAGTGCTTTTGTGTGAGTTTATGATTCTTTCTCTTTCAGAGCAAGGTGAGTCAGACAGTGTGTAAGTGATGTGAGGTGTGGATACTCTGGCTCTCTTTTACTTTTTGACTTTCTTGGATATTTTGAATTTTTTTATGTACCTTGATCTTCGGTTGGATACTGTGACACTTGGTACGATACCCCGGTACTTTGTACGATATTTTATTTCTTTTGTACGATATTTTGATCCTTTCGATATGGACTGGAACCTTTGCTTATTTGCATGGTCCCTACGTTCTGTGTATTTGTGCGAATCTCAGACTTCTTTATTTTTTATGTGGTGTGTCACGCTCACTTTCAGTTGTGGACTTGCCCATATGAATGATTATTGTGACGAGAAATAAATGTTGTGGAAATGACCTGATCTGCACTATCTTCCTCTGTACTTAGGCATATCTGCATTAGAACAGACAAAGTCATAAGTACAGTGAAAGAGAGTGCACCTCATGTCTGTTTGGAAGAAGGAATTATGTGTTGAGTTCAGAAGGATTTGAGTGATGATAAATGGAGAGGTCACAACTAAAAGTTGTCTTTTTGTGTGGTTCAAAGGAAAACGAGAGAAGGAGACCCAATGGCCGTTGAGTTCTCCACATATATATAAGAGTGGAACTATGAGGGAGCACTCAAATGAGTTGCTATAATGATGAGGAAACTGTATGTATGACTGAAAGTCTTACGAGGGAAGACCAAAATCTTTGTGAGAATTATGGATGGAAATTTTCTGGCAATTATGATGAGAGACTTTTGTGAGGTGTCCCTAAGACGTGTGACCGCCGYCTGTTBTGATCAAAGTAAAGVGGGGCACGACCTTGTGGATAAGAGAGAAAGTTGCTGGAACACAGAGAGAAAGAGACACTATCCCCCCACATAGTCCGAGGTTGGGAGGGTAAGTGAATCTAGAGGTTGTCCAGAGCTATTTGCCAGAGCACAATGGTTAGTCTAGGGGGACATATTTTGTGAGGCCAAGCTAAGGGGCTATACTTAGCATCGCTGGAACTGTAGAACCTAACTCCCAGCGAGGGTCGCTGACCGGCGCAACCTGGCAGCGGGACCACGACTCACCAATTGGTAAATCTTGAAGGGTCGGTCGCCCGGAGAGGTATAGCTAGGGGGGAGTCAGTGGGGTTGAATGAGTCTGAGAGCCGGTAAGTACGCCTATCGTTGCGCAACCAACGAGGGCATCATCGCTATATAACAACGCGATGAGCTGTGGATACAGTGTGATCGACCGTTCTGCGGTGGGCCAAAATGGAGACCTGAAAACCTCCTGTGTAGACACCAGGGTGGACAGTTATTATGAGAGATATTTGAGATGGTAAAAATTATCATTTTGGGGACTAAAGGTGCCCCGGTTTTTGAGAGAGGTCTCGGTTAGGGCCCGCGTCCTGAGTTATGACCCCGTACGCGGGATGATGACTCATTAGGACACCCAACGATTAACCGGCAGATGTCTACGACGAAGGAAGGAGGGCTACCAATCTACTACTTGGAAGCGGGTACTACGCTGTAGTACGGATGACAGTACACCCTAACTCCTAGGCCAGGATGTGGGAGACCCAGGTTAAAACCCTGGCAGTGGAATGTTGTGACTGGGGTAGATTGACAAGATGCCTCTAACAGAGTCGAGCCGGCTAGTCGGAATGGTTGATACCTTGTTAGCAGATGGGATTTTGTACGCTTATAGCATTTGATTGCTCGACGCGACGGGGACGTCGCTTAATAGGGTCCGAAAATATTGTCGGCACCAATACCCTTACAAGGGTAATTGTGCGTACTCTTGCACCTCGCAGGAGGAGCACTCTTGATAAAATTTAAGGAAGTAGCGTGTTTTTCGCTCGACCGTGACTGAGTTTGAAGTCAGGGACGACGGGCGCACGCATAGCTTGTTCAAAGAGTGTGTGGGCGTGCACTTTGTGGGCACGCGTTAGTTAAATAGTGAGAACAGATGGACCGCTCGGCGGTCCAAGTTAAAAGTAAGCTAGGGGTTCGGATAGCGTAGCACGGGCCGCAGACTTCGAACGTACTGACGGAGTCGCCACTGGTGCGAAGTTAGACCGTCGAAGCTATGGCTAGAGGAAAACTTTCGACTGACTTGCTGAAGGGCGGCATTTTGAGGCCGCACCATGTAAAGTATGCAAGTACTACAATTGACTATAAAAGTATCGACGGTAGGAGCTGTAACAAAATTGAGTTAGGTATGACGCGAGCAAAAGTCGGGGTCTTTCCGACCAAAGACGATAAAAGCATGTTCTTTTCGATGAGTACTGCGGGCTACGAGAGCCTCGGCCCGTGACCGCGGCATGGCGGGGAAGTGCGCATGGTAAACTCAGCAATAACCGTCCTCCAAGCAGCGAAAGCGTGACATTGCAGGGCTTGGGCTCGAGTAGTAAGCCAAGCAACGACCTTGGTGCACCTGCTACACGCCCGAGCAGGCCGCAGTAACTCTTCATATGTAGAACTGCGCCTGCTGCAACCAGGCTTGGGCTTAGCCCTATTGGTTACAGCACTAGACTTTTGCCTCGCAGATCCTGGGATCGAGGCCAGCGAAYAGTAGCAAGGGAGMGAGGAGCGTACTTTGGCAAAAATCCGAGGGGTTGAGRGTCCTGCGGGACTATCCCCYTTGGTTTTGCGCAGGGTTCCGACTGCGGGCCCGACGGGCAGGACCAAGGGACCGAGTCCCAGCGGTTCCCGTCCCCCTACCTGTTTTATAAGTTCTTTTTTTTATTAATTATTATTCTCATTTTTATTTTTATTTTGGTCCCATTTTGGGACAAGCTCCGGTACCGGTCCGTGGACCGGCAGTAGGACCCAAGAGCCTAGCCTGGTGGGTATATTGAACTGTTGCAATACAAACCTGTGTTCGAATCCAGATGATGGAACTTGATGAGTAAAACCGAATATGTCTGATTCGTCTGGGCCCGGTCAATTCGGGGGTGATATCCCGAATCCGTGGCCGCAGTCCTGCGGGACATCCGTTAAAATTGGAACGATACAGAGAAGACTAGCACGSCTCCCTGCGAAGGTCATCTGACCTTTCTATTGGTCGCCTCCCCCTCCCTTTTTTTTTTCCCCGATCACGGATTGGTGTGTCGGGTTCCTGGGAAACCTGTGCCACTTCAGACAATCGGCGCAACTATGAGGCAGTGTGAGGATTCGGCTTAGGACTTCAGTACAAAGCAATGCAGCCCGGTGGGAGTAGGGCTGCTTTTTGTTCTGACCACAGGTAATGCACGCGGGGTGAATGTGCGTTAGAAGAGGGAGCGGCAAACAGGGAACTGATGAACGGGAAGGAAACGGAGAAGATGCTGTTCGCCGGTATGGCAGCGAGTGGAAGAAGCCTTACCTGCTCATACTCGTCACTGGCATCTCGAGGAGAGTGAAGAAACAGAGTGAACCTGGACGCAGATCGGCGCCGGGTACTTCCTAGGTGGAAATGGAGATGGAGGGAGACCTATCGTGCCGTTATTAATGGARTCGGGCAGGGTGAAGGTTGAAGATTGGAGCTTCTAGCGCAGGAGAACGCTGCACGGCGAGAGTGGGGGCTACAGTGACGAAAGGATATACCTGGACTTGATTTTGC